GAGGGAAGAAAAAGAGAGGGAGAAAGAGAGGGGGAGAGGAGTAGAGAGAAAGCAACAGATTGAGAGTAAGACAGAGATAGGCGAGAGACAGAGGGGGAGAGAGAGTAGGAGAAAAAGAAAGAGAGAGACAGAGGTGTGTGGAGCAGCGAGAACCAGAGAGAGGCACATTTTCCCAGGCTCACCACCCACTAGCCATCATGTTGCATCCCCTACCACCTCACCCCACACACGTAACTTCCTACCTTCAACCACAATGGCAATGCCTCTACTCTTTCAAGCAATACACAGAAACAAAAGAATAAAATAAACCTTCAAAAATCTTCAATTTGGAATATCAGTAGATTTGTACAACTTTCTCCTCCCCCAATCCAGTACCAGCGCAGAGACAATTAGGACCTGGTCACTCCGATATTAACAACACACAACCTCTTGTTGCAAGGACCAAAACAACATTCATTGCCGTCATTTATCATTGTCGTACGTCAAAGGACGAGGTTTTATAGGAGAAGCAAAAACCTGTTTTATTTCATGCAGGACATCATGGTTTTACAAAACGTCCGTCTAAATCCATTGCTATTTGAATAAGAGGGATAAGATCAAGACAAATGGATGGATGCGTCACATAAAATCTACAAATTTTGACTGCTCAGGGCAAGATTCCATAACACGTCACCTTTCAAAATGGCGTATGGCAGAGTCTTACACAAAGCAGACAATTTGATTTTTAAAATGTTTTTATTTTAGCCGAGTTTTTACGGCGCTCGCAACTGCATAGGGTCATATGACCGCCAAGGGGTGGATGTCAACAGAGAAGTCCATGCAGGGAATCAGATTTGATTTTCAATTTAAAAAAAAAAGTTTTGACAGACTACGACGCTGAATGATGGCCAAGCATTGATCTCAGGTCTACCTACAAAGTTCAGGCAGCAATTGCAATGTCTACACAGGGACTAGTTGGGACAGCCCTTTGGCGGGCTGGGACATTAGAAAACAAAACAAATACATGAAAAAAAATCCCACTTAGATGTGTCAGAATGTCTGTGAGCCAGTGTGTCTTTTTTGTATCTGTTAGTATGCACGCCTCTGTCTGTGAATCCTACTTAATTAATTGTCTGTGTGTTTGTGTGTTTGTACATCAATACACATATATATGTATGTTTGTATGTGCAAGTGTGTGCGAGTGAGTGAAAGTGTGTGCGTGTATGTGTGTGAGTGTTTAGGTATGTATGTAATGTGTTTATGTATATACATGTATATATATCTGTCTGTGTGTGTTTGGTGTGTTTATGCAAGTATGTACATGTGTCTATGTATTGCATGTATACAGTATATCTGTGTGAGTCAGTGTGTTTATACATGTATATAATTTGTCTGTGTGAGTTTGTGTGTTTAAGCATGTATGTAACGTGTCTATGTATATACATGTAATATAATATGTCTGTATGTGTTTGTGTACACCAGCATGATGTCACCAGTCCGGCGACCCCGGGTGGACCTCTCACAGCGGCACCTTTTCCTCTGGCAGCGGGTTCATGGGCTTGGCCGCGTCGTCGGCCGCCTCGGGGGTGGTCACCACGCCGTCCTCGCTAACCTGGGCGTCGCGGAACGCCTCGTCTATCTCGCTGGACGAACGGCTGCCCGTCACTTTGGCCTGGACGTGGGGGGAAAGAAGAGAGAGAGAGAACAGGAACATTTAAGTCTCACATGACGAAACTCACCAAGCTTTCTTTTATCTACTGTTGCTCTTTTTTCTAAATGCAGGTGCTTTTTTCACCTTCAGCAGCACAATTTAGACCATTTAGCAGGTTTTTGCCAACAGTTTCAAAATCCAATCAGGGACACTATTCGTTACCTTAAGTTTAGTAGTATGAGTTTTACAGCACTTGCAACACAATCAGGTCATACGAATGTCGAAGATAAGAGACATTACAAGAGAGTTACAAACACAAACAAGGAGGAGAGATCAGGACGATAGATGTTTGAAAGGCAAGACCGAGCAAACCACACCAGAGCACCCGCCAAATACACTCAACGATACATCAGATTATACAACAAGAAACAAAATTACATCTAGTTAGGGCAGGGTTTGGTGTAGTGTGTGTATCATACGATATATGCAAATTCACGGTTGCCAAATTCGGGAATATCCGGAAAAATTCATGACAGTTGGCAAGCCTAATTTAGGAGGCGGGCTGCCGACTCTTGCGGTCAGAGCCAACCCCGGTTTGGAGGGATACAAAAGACAACATTTCAGCAAATGAAAAGACTCAAATATCGAACTCGGGTCTCCTGTGTGCGACAGCAAAGCACCTAACCGTGACACCAACAACACCGGTTGTAACTAGCTGTTTGAACAGAGCTCTGTTCATTTCAATGAAGAGGAGCACATTAACACAATAATTGTGATACACTGCTGTGAAACTAAGATAGACAGACAAACAAAAGCAACAGAAGGAGAGAAAAGAAGTAGGACCTACAAGTAAATGAACCCAGTTTCAGTTTTAACAAGAATTATATGCACTTGCAACAGGAATAGGTCATGTAATAAGTGCCTAAGACAAGAGGTGTTTGTAGAAAGTAACATCATAACAAAAGGAGGCGAGGTAAGAACTATAAATGATTGATCAGAAAGAAGAAGCAACCCACACTAGAACACCTGCCAGCAACCCATGTCTACAGTACAAAACAGCATGCAGTCGTGCTATTTTTAATTTCCTTTTTTATTATAACAAGTATAATAAAAAAGACACAAAGCAACTCTACTTCGATAGTGGCAATGTGGTGGTTGCTGTTTTCGCTAAGAGGCATACTTGACTAAAACACGTCAAACGACACATGTAACAGAAAATTCTGCCCATGACACATGTCCAACAATGCACAACTGACATGTACATGACATATACGTATGTATATCACACACTGCATGACACACAACAAACGTTACATCGTCCCTCAAAACACGAACTAGCGTAAGCCACATTTTGTTAGTTTTGCAGGAGAGACGTTTAAAGATTTGGGCGATTTTCACCATCCCATTGTGGCGTCAAACAGCCGATCTTGCCCTTAATATTTTGACATAACGTGCATGGGCCAACTACTTTTCAATTGGCTAGAAGCGTCTTTGTGAGGATAGTAGGTTTTGAAGGAAAAATGACCTTTTTGTCCGATACGCTACTACGCGCTACGTCAATGACAGCCTCGATGTGTGTCTTACGTTACTAGATTGTTGGATACGTTAGTACGCGCTTTTGTATTCTAAAGCGTATATTATACTTTATATACGTACATTGCGTGGCTTACGCCTAAATGGTAACTTCCAAATAACAATAAAAATGCAAAGAAAGATCAATTTGGTTTAAATTCACGGGTTATATTATCCGTGACAAATGATAATGTTAACAGCAACTCGGAATATGAAGGCGTCAACTGTATATGATTTTTTTTAAATAGTAACTCGCAGTTCCATGACATTGTTCCACGAAAATGAGTCTTCTGTATCAGATCCTCTTCGTGCGTCCAGGATATTGAAGTCTTTTGATAAGCCTTTGAGATCCAGAAAGTCTTTAGACTGCATCTGATTCTCCTGGCAAGACTTTTGAGGTCGAGCGAAAGACATCTCTGTTGCTACCTGAGAAGGAGGGAACAAATCCCCAGCCCTCTTCAGAGCATGTCCTATAGCACTGTGTGCAGAATCACCCTCGTTCTGACGATAATTTGTTTCAAAAAACCTCAATGACATCTTTTCAAGATTCACACTTATGCTCACTGTACAAAATCATCGCAGGCGTAATCGAATTTTAGTTCTGACCACTGCATCCATCGGTAAAAAGAAAAGCTTTTTCGATGCCACGGTCGTCCTAAAACTTCAGAGCACGGTGGACTGTAGTTGAAATTTCCGAGGATCCACGTTTGCTTTGCGTTTCATCCCTAGTGAAGCAGTGACAATCTCTGTTAGCAATGTTATAGAAAGTCTGGTTGTAGTTCGACAACCTCCTTTTGTAAAAGATGGCGCTCTCCTGAGACATAGGGAGGTCAATCACCTGCTGCAAATCAAAACTTGCACTGAGAATGTTTTCACTTTCCTGAGCCTATTTCTTGCACTTGCATACATCCTTTATTTCCCTGACCTTTTTCTTTTTCTCCCACATGGATCTCAAACTTATCCCTTTGTTTCTTCATTTCCTTGGTGATAATTGACACAAACAGAGCACTGGTCTTTATTGGGTCGGTGGATTGACAGATTTTTACTTTATAATACATGGTTGTATGTTGTGAAGCTTGGTGGCCTTGTTCTGGGCATCCATTCCTGGATGAACATAAGATAGATAAGATTAGATAAGATAGTACTTTATTATCCCAGAGGGAAATTTTCCTCGGCTGTACAGGACCGTAAAAACACATGCAGGTATACATTAAAAAATTTTAATCATATATATTACTCTCATTAAAATTCAATATGAAAGGAGAAGTAAAGCTGACAAAATGTACATATCAAAAGCATCATTCAACCACATGCAGGAATTTAAATACTAGACCTTTGGAGTTATATACAGATACATACTCTAAGAGCAACACACATCTATGCTCATTCTGACAAAAGCCTTATGCTAGATGGTATAAAACTTCTTTTATATCTTTCTTTCTTTGTTTTTGGAGGTACATATCTGCCGCTGCGTGATCTTACAATTTGTGTGGAAAAGGGGTGTGATGGGTCATTTATAATGCTTTTTTTTTTATACGTGTGGTGTTATACATTTCATCCATTCTCATAAAATCATATCCAGAGATCTTGCTGGCTTTCTTAATGGTTCTGTCAAATTTTTCTTTATATCTTTCACCTTACAATTCCCACCCCAGCAGCAAATACAAAATAATAGCACACTTTCAATCATAGAATGGTAAAAAAGGGACATAATCTTATTGTCAACACGGAAACTTTGTAATTTCCTTAAAAGAAACATTCTTTGATTTACTTTTTTATGCACAAGAGCAGCGTGGGGATGCCAGTCATGTGGTACATGTGCCGTTTGCTGAGTTCAGGGCTCAGATACTCTCTTGTTGATTTTTCTCTACAGTAATGAGATTCGACTTTAGGAAATCTGTCGAAGTGATCTGATATTGCTTTGCGCACAAACGCATCTCTTTCTCTTTCTGCCTCAGATTGTCTCCCACTTCGTTTGTCTTTCTCAGCTATACCAGTGGAAGTAACTTTGTTCAATGCCGCTCTGGCGCTCTGTTCTGAAATGCCCAAAGTGTTTAAGAAAAACAATTTGCAGACTGGAACAAAACTGTCCCCAACTGTAAGCATGTACTGTCTGGTATTACTTCTTCGTGATTCGCCTTCAGTGTATTTCCTCTTTGTTTTACAGCATTTGACATGTCTCACAAGAAACTCCCGTTTCATTCTTAGATCTCCAAGGGAGTGATACAAATAAAAAATGGCCAGCCTCTGCTCATCAGTAATTGTTGAGCATTGTTTCTTGTGCTTTGTACACTTGTCTCCTTTAAATCTTGCTCTTATGTGTTTGGTGGGCAGTCTTTTTTGTCTTCATGCTTGTGTACTCTTGTCCCAAATTCCTCTTCATTTTGGCTTCCATGACTTATGCAGTCTGTGAGTTTAAGGCTTGTTGTTGTTGTTGTTAGCGATCCAGTAGCATCTGAGCGTTAACTCTTCTGCATGATGCCATTCGGAAATAGTTGCATGTTTGTTCTAACTGTTGTCTTGAGGAGTAGAGGCAATTAGATGTGTGGGGTAGCTTGGGAAGAAAACATCCCCTTAAATCAGTCAGTTTTCTACAGAAGAACAGATGATGTTCCACTGTCTCTGAAGGGTAGTCACATAGTGGGCAGGCAGCAGACTGCTTTACTCCAATTCGGTTGAGATGTTGGTTGAGGGGTACATGTTGTGTTGTAAGTTGGAAGATTATGGATTAAGTTTAAGGCTTCACCAGGGTTCTGAATGTCAATCAGAGTTTGAACAGTAGGGCTACATGTCAAAGAAAGAGTGGTTGTTCAGAGCGGGATCCCATTTGTAAACAAAGGACGAGTAAAAAGGGACTTCTAGAAGTGGAGTCTGAGCATTCACTGCCTCTCTCGAAGCACACTGCTCACGTGTGTGAGTGTTTAGTTTAGCTTGTCTTCCCGCTCTCTAGAAGCGCTGTGCGGTATTTTTTTGCCATAGGCTCAGCCCTGGCTGTGTGGCTTACATTAGTAGGCCTATGTGCTGTATAATAAAAACACAACAATGGGTCAAAGTGTACGTCATGCACTAGCGTAACCAACTGTGTATTAGTACGTACTGTATCTTTTTGTGGACAAGTGGGATACGTTCAAACTGGAATCGACTATATCTCAACTATTTATTGCTCCATTCCTACGATCTTTTGAGAGGATGTAGTATAGGATAAAGGGAACCGCGTGATTGGTATAACTCGATTTCGGGTCAGATGTGGCTTACGTTAGTACGTGTTTAGAGGGACGACATGACCTATATCATGACGCACATTATACGAAATACATCACACAACACACAGTTCATAACATATAATACTACACACAAAATACTTCACACAACATATATCACACAAAACACATTACACGACATATATCACACAACACACATTACACGACATCTATCACACAACACATTAC